CATATAGCTTAGAATACATATGGAGAAAATTGGACCATAAAATTAAAAAAAAAAAACCATTGAGCAAAAAGGTGTATAACTTAATATAGTATTCTATGATAAAAAAATAATTTGCATGCCTTTGTTAAATCATAACATTTATTATGGACATTGAACAAAACATAACCACATCACTTCCACAACTAAATTTTTAGACAAAAAAAAAAGAAAAGAAAAGAAGAAGACTCAATCACAATGAAAGCTTATCCCATAATTTCATCATCTTCGTCATCATTTTGGTTGGCTTGAATACCCCATGCGCCTCTTCTTCTTGGTATGGCTCATCATCATCATCAACATTAGGCATCTCATAAACATTTCTAGGCTTCGTTTCCACCACATAACTCCAAGCCTTATTTTTAATCTCTCACATAAAAAGCTTGGGTTGCTTGGTTTGCAAGCACAAGTGGCTCTTTAGTATTCAACTTGCGAGTTGTATTAATACTAATTGTTCCATAACGATCTATCTTATAACATGTTCCTTTTCGCACAATGTCAAACCACTCACAATTGAACAATACAACTCTATTGCATTCTGTGTAACGAAGCTCAACCACGTCTTTTAATACTCCATACCAAGGCACACTATCAATCTGATTCTCCCCCTTAACCATAACTCCACAATTTTGTGTTTTTTTTATTCTCATCACGTTGCAATGTATGAAACCTAAACCCACTCATATAGTAACTAGGATAATATTTTCTCGCCTTTTCAGACCGAGAGCCAACGAAAGCATTTGCTTATCAACTTTGTTATCATAGTATAGTTGTTTGATCTGCATATATGGAAAGAAAAATATTATAGAAACAATATATCTAATAATCAACAGTTTTCACATAAATATTATACATACCCTCTCATGAAACCAATTTGAAAATTGAGGCCTATGTGACTCCTCCACATTTCTAACACCAGAATGCATTAGAATATTCTTATGTTCTCTGCACATATAACAAGGAGTTAGTTAAATTAATATATTAAAATATTGTAATACTAAAAATAAGTAGTAAAAGATCAAATGTTGAAAGTTCATATGGTATGAGAGATTTCTTACTGAATAAAAGGTAGACATTCATCACAATTTTGTAGGACATAAAACTTGGCAGCCTTAAGGAGTTTGATACACATCTCTTCAAGTACACCTTTCCCAAAAGATTTACTTGGTGTTGAAAAAATAGGTAATCGAGATGTATTAGATAACGATTGACCTCCATCATCATTTCTATCCCTTTGATTAAACTTAGTTTCAACTTGATGCAAATATCGAGAGCAAAATGTTATGCATTCATCTCCTAAGTAGCCTTCCGCAATAGATCCTTTTGGACGAGCCTTATTACGAACAGAACCTTTTAGTTTATGCAAATACCTAACCAGATAGTAAAAATTGAAATTAGAGAATATAACTTGATATCAAATAAAATGTTATGTAATAATAATATTTGAAAATTGACATTACCTTGCTATAGGATACATCCACCTATATTGCACTGGACCCGCCGTTTTTGCCTCACATGCTAAATGGCAAGTTAGATGAATCATGATGTCAAAGAAGGCAGGAGGGAATATTTGTTCCATCTTGCATAATGTAATAGCAATTTGATTTTCAAGAACATTCAAATCTTCTTCTCTCAACACTTTAGCACACAATTCCTTGAAAAAATAAGAAAGCTCAATGAGGGGCTCACATACGTCTTTAGGCATTAACTCTCGCGCTATAAAGGGAAGTAATCTTTCCAAGAAAATGTGACAATCATGGGTCTTCATATCAGAAATACTACATTCTCCAACAGCCACACATCGAGATAAATTTCCAGAGTATCCATCTGGAACTTGTAATTCAGATAACCATTTACATAAAACTTTATTATCATCATCTGACAACGTATAGTCACCTAGGAGAAAATCAAGCTTACCATCTTCTCTTACTTTTGGATGATATCTTTCCCTTATACCCATTTCGCGAAGATCAATGCGAGCATTTAAAGAATCCTTTGTTTTACCATCAATGCTCATCATTGTGCCAATCACACTCTCAAATACATTTTTCTCGATGTGCATAACATCTAAGTTGTGACGCACCAAAAGTGTTTTCCAATAAGGTAATTGAAAAAATATAGAATGTTTTTCCAATTATGCCTCATTCCAAACCCAGGTATCATTTGCTTGTTCTGCTTGCCATGAGTTATTTTTCTTAATTCATCCAGTTCTTGTATAACATCATCACCAGATATTGTTGTTACCCTAAGCCTTCAATTACATCATCACCAAAAGCGTTTTCCCTAAGCCTTCAATTACATCCGATTGACCTGATATTGTTGTTACCCTTACTCTTGTAGGCACCAAGCTTGGGAAATACTTTCGATCACGAAGTATTGTACTTGTGGTTGCACTGTCTACAAAACAAATATCTTTGTCATTTCTCATGTTTTGAGAATAGCCATAGCTTTTATCCATGCTTTCTGAGTAAAGGGGATCACAGTTAAAAACAACTTAGAAATTTAAATGCCTCTTTTATTGAAATACGAGTTTTTAAACTACAAGTTCATAATAATAAAAGTACATTAAATATAAATGGTTCAGTCGAACTGATACACTTCACTCCCCTTTTCCACAATGAAGTCTGAGACATCTAAGTGGGTTGTGTTCAACTGTCTTGGTAAGTCGCACACTGGATCAGGTATATCCATTCATTTAGCCTGGTCAAGGAAATTAGTTTGACACCCTTCTCCTTGAGAGAGGCTTGATATAGATCCACCAGATGTTTTGGGGTACGACAGGTACGGGCCCAGTGCCTATCGCTACCACACCTATGGTAGGCTTTATCAGAGTTTCTAGGAGCATTGTTCATACGAGCTTTGCCTTTGTGGCGATTTCCATTTTTAAAGCTCGGGCCTGAATTTTGCCTTGGAATTTGGTTGTGAAACTGACCACCATGATTTTTGCCTTTCCTGTTCCACCGGCCTCGCTTATGACCACGTCCTTGTTTATGATTATCGCCACCAGAGGATATGACGTTCACTTCGAGGGAAGCAACATTCACTTCTGGGAATGGTGCAGATCTAGTAGGTTGGGACTGATGATTTTTCATCAGGAGCTCATTATTTTGTTCAGCTACCAAGAGCACAGATATTAGCTGGTTGTATTCAGTGAGAGGTAATTATGAACAACGCATAATTGTACTCAACCACTGACTTGAAATCCTAGATCCTTAGGTGAGTCCATTCATAGCGAGCCCTTGGAAAAATCACCGTTGTCTGGTGATTGTATCTGTTTCTCAATGTCTTCCAGAGAGCTAACAAATCTTCAACCATTAAGTACTCCTTCTTTAGTCCTTCATCAAGATGGTGACAAATAAAGATCATGGTCTTTGCCTGATCTTGAGAGGATGAGTTGTTTTCTTCTCTAATGGTATCTCCAAGATTCCTTGCTTCCAGATGGATCTTGGTATCCAGTACCCTGGTAAGGTAATTCTTCCCAATAATGTCCAGGGCAGCAAAATCAAGCATTGCCAAGTTTGCCATTTTCTTTTCTTTCTAAAAGAAAAATGAGATGTGTAAGAACTTGCAATAATATGTCTTCCTGGAGGAATATATCGTTAAAACTTCTGATTCTTACAAATTTTTCATTTTGATTTTCAGGCCAAAAATGATAAGCGTTCGAAACTTCAAGCTCGAGATTTTCATGATTAATGAGAAGGGCGGTTGTACTGCACCATTCTCATTGAAACAAGCATAAGATGGACGATTATTCTGCACCACTTGAACAGCAAAAAAATTTAAATATGCAGAGCAAGATATAATCGATTTAAATATGTAGAGCAAGGTGGACGATTATACCGCACCACCTAAAATTGCAGTAAAATTAAATTTGCAGCTTAAGATGGACGATTACACCGCACCATCTTTGATCGCAGTGAAAATTAAATTTGCAGTTCAAGATGGGCGATTGTACCGCACCATCTTTGATTACAGTAAAATTAACATAAATAAACACTAGGTTAGAAACCAGGAACTGCACCAAATAAGAAATCAAAGATATAAGTAACTGTTAAATTTAGAACGAGAAGCAGACATGATGCTAGCAGTTCATCGCAAGGGTGCATCACGCAGATGAAGCAGAAGAAGAAGAAAAACACGAAAAACCTTAAAGGAAGCATTTTTTTTCTTCTTTCTTTCGGTGAAGGGAGATGTGAACTATTTAAGGTTAGAGAGTTGTGCTGATAACGTGTTATAAATAAACAAAAGTTAGAGAGATAACCTTTCTAAGGACAGGAGCGAAGCATGTGCAAAATATCACACTATAACTTTAGTAGCTATAACACAAAAAGGATGGCAGATAAAGAGAGGGATGGGTACTGATATTATTTCTCATGCTTTCTTTCGCAGTGCATGGAGTGCTCTATTTATAGAGCGACTCTCGTAACTACAACCATCAAAATACAATGATGATACTTTTGAAAGTATCAAACACTATTACTCACTATTACTAAGTCTTTGGGCATTCTTTTGAGTGGGCATTCACCCACTAATTCTATAACATGTAAAGTTTTTTGCCCTAACTATATATTATGCTCTCAAAGTTTAAGATGATATTTAAATTAGGTCATTAAATTTTAATTTTTTCAAATTGTTTCTTAGAGTTTTGAAACTATATCAATTTACACTTTTTGTAACATTAAATGTCTATTATACAATAAATTGATGAGTTTTTAGGTTATATGTTGCAAATGTGGCTTACATATCAATCCAGTTACGCATTTGATGCTCACCATGTCATCAAATTAATGAAGATTTAGTTAATTCATTACACAAAATGAGTAAATTGATACAATTTCAAAATAAGTAAGATTACATTTCTTAACTTCTTCACAAAACTCAATCTTCTCCAAAGTCAGTGAAATTAACATATATGAAATAGGCAAAAATTATTCCATGAAATTAACATTATCTGTATACTAAAACCCGGTGGCACTATTCATGAGCAGTGTAATGGCTAAAATACCCCTTGGCGTCTTCTTTGTTACCCATTGTCTTGCCTGCTTGGTACAGTGAGATGACGTTTTTACCCATCTTGGCCACGCGTTGATCATCGTTGGATTGTATGCTTTGGCTGGGTGTTCTAGATGTTTTCTTCTGTCTGTGCTCTTTTCCTTCACAGATCCATAATTTTTCTGCTCTCCATCTTGGTCTCTCTTGCTATCAATTCTTCCTACTTTTTTTCTCGCAAAAACTGATCGAAGCAAACCCAATTCTTCGTTTTTTCATTTTGGAATTTTGTTTGCACCCACCATCTGAGGAGTGGCTGATTTTTTTAAACCTCTTGAAAGCTAGCTTTGTCAGCGTTTAGTGCAAACCTATAAATTGTGTTCTGATTGTTTTATCGATCTTACGATTCCTGCCCCAAATCGTTTACAATTGGATTCAATTTTAGTTTCCGACTGCGGAATTAGGATCTGACTGGAAGAGTTTTGTGTGTTTACCTTTCTCATGGTATGGTCTTCATCTCAGTTTTTAATTTGTTTCTGAATTTTATATCGTGTTGGATTTGTAATTTATCTTTTTTGTGCATCTTGGATTTGTAATTTATCTTTTTGTGCATCAGAATATGTGATTCGATGTGTTCGATTGGAATTTTTTGTGGTTGTGAGTTTGTGGGTTTTTTTTTACTGCCTGGGAAAATAATTAATTGATCATAAAAATGAATCAAAACATTGGACCATTTTGTGATTTTGATTTGCTCGGGTTTTTTGGTGTTTTTGAAAATATGATCTGATGTTTTGATTAATTAAAATAATTGAAAGGCACAAGAAGAGTGTAGAATTATTGTGAAGAGTGGTCTGCAGAAAAAGGGGGAAAAAGTTTGGATATGGAAGAAAGGGGGCACTGAGCACTTGCTTGGACATAGGTTTTTAATATTTTGTACTAGCATTAGACTTTGTGTGAAGATAAATTTCATATATTTATTTTTAGTTTTTAAATAAGTGTCAGTGATTTGTATTATTTCTAATCTGAACACCACGTGTTCTTATTTATCTGTGTTGTTTAGCTGAATTGATGTATATATCTTGCCAATTAGGCTTAGGATAATGGATTAGTTAGGGTTATGTGCTTGAAAGGATTTTTTTTAATTGAATCCTTTATTTAACACACTTAAACGATTAGTCTTTGGTTATTGTAGACACCGAAATTTCAGTGAAATAAATGTTAACTAATGTATTAAAATTACAACATTTATTCATTTCACTTACATCACACATTCATTTCACTTACATCATACATTCATTTCACCTACAAACTCCATTCATTTCACCTACATTACACATTTACTTCACCTACCAACTCCACTCACTTCACCAAAAAATGGATGGTGGTGATTCACTCTCTTGGCCTATAAATAGCCTTCTCCATCAAGAGGAAAGGGAAGGAATTTTACATACACACCAAAACCTTGAAGCTTTGAAACTCTAAGGCTCTCAAGCAAATCCCGAAGGATCAGTAAAACCCTCTTCGTTCTTCGTCAAATCCCCTTTCAAGATCAAGCCCCGACGGCCCTTGAAGAGACTTCCTTCAACCTTCGAGATCAAGCCCTGACGGGCCTTGAAGAAAGTGTTCATCGTTTTTGGATTAACAAAAAAATCAACAAACCCATACACCAATTCTTCAAGATTAAGCCCAACGCCCCTTGAAGACCCATTCATCAACTGGTCATCCTTAGATCAAGCCCTGACGACCCTTTGAATCAACAGCTCATCCACAAACTTACACCTTACGAAGATAGAATCAGAGGATCAAATTACAAAGAGATTGTAACCCCAAAATCATTAATACAAAAATATATTTTGTACACGTATTCTTGTTTCTTGTTTCAGGAATTTTTCATGTTTACAAATTTGGCACGCCTAGTGGGATATCTCTACCTCTCATCTCTATCCTCAAATCATCGAAAAACGCAAATGGCATCAAGAAAGGATCAAGCTGTTCCTGCAATCAAAGCGAAGAACAAGAACATCATCGCTGCAACTGGTGATATTTCGGGCATCACAACCCGAAGTAAGGCAAGAGCTCTTTTTGCCACGGCTTCCACCCCTACATTAACTCTGTCAAAGGAACAAGAGCACCTGAGGCACGAGCCTGTGATCACCCTAGCCTCGCTAAGGGCGTCAAGAGAGGAGAGCCCGAGGAAATACTCAGAGTCCCTACTCTCCGACGTTGATTCGAGCGGCAGTACAAACATGCAAGTCATGACCACTGGAGCAACTTTAATTAAGGAGCAACTAGCTCAGATGAATAAAGTAATCACAAAGCTCACACGGACTGTGGAAGAGAAGGACTTGCAGATTGCCGCACTTGTCAACTAACTAGATGTGCGACCCGACGTGAAAGTCGACCCAAATGTTAGCCAATTAAAGAAAGAAGTTGACGAAGAAGAGGAGCCTCCAGCGGAGAAAGTCAGAGATAAGCTGAAGCTAGACCAAGCAACAACGTTCATAGGATCTCTCTTTATCCAGCAGCTACAGGAGATGATTGCAAGCACTATTAAGACACAGTACGAAGGAAGCTTACATGACTCCGTACTGTACTTAAAACCTTACTCCAAGAAAATTGATGCTTTGAAGATGCCAAGGGGTTATCAACCCCTAAAATTCATGCAGTTCGATGGAAAAGGCAACCCGAAGCAACATATCGCCCATTTCATTGAAACTTGCAACAATGCTGGGACAGAGGGGGACTACCTCGTCAAACAGTTCGCACGTTTGCTGAAAAGTAACGCTTTTGACTGGTACACCGACCTCTTACCCGAGTCTATCAACAGTTGGGACCAGCTAGAAAAGGAATTCCTCAACCGCTTCTACAGCACTCGCCGTACTGTAAGCATGCTAGAGCTGACCAGTACGAAACAGTGGAAAGATGAACCTGTCGTCGACTACATCAATAGATGGCGCTCTTTAAGTCTGGATTGCAAAGATTAGCTTTCTGAAACCTCTGCCATTGAGATGTGCGTTCAAGGCATGCACTGGGGGTTACATTACATCCTCCAAGGCATAAAACCAAGAACATTCGAAGAGTTGGCAACTCGTTCCCACGACATGGAGTTGAGTATCGCTAATCACGGGAAAAAGGAGCCGATTACTAACTTTAAGAAGGATAAAGTATTCGCCCCAAATGTAGACAAGACTGGGAAGAAGCCCGCTAAGGAAACTTTCACCGTCAACATTACCCCCATCAAGACCTCCTCAGCGCCCATCAAGATCTCCTCCAAGAAGAAAACAAAGGAGATAAAGAAAGGTGAGCCTTCTCGCACCCAAGACAGATACAAGAACACCTTGAGAGAGCTGGAACAGAAAACGTACCCTTTTTCTGACTCTGACATGGCTGCCATGTTAGATGACTTGTTGAAAAAAAGGTGATTAAGCTACCCGAATGTAAGCGTCCTGAAGAAATGAATCGCATAAATGATCCTAGGTACTGCAAGTACCATCGTATTATGAGCCATCTTGTTGGCAAGTGCTTCGTTCTTAAAGAACTCATCATGAAGCTAGCACAACAAGGGCAAATTGAGCTTGACCTTGAGGACACGGCCGCAACGCATACCACTACAATTGCGTTTAGATCGTTCGATCCCGTGCCTCTCCAAGTGACACCTGACCATTCCCGTAAATGCTCAAGTTGCACGGCACCTCCTACACAACCATCACTGGAGGGAAGCGACCAAGATGCACATACTGATGATGAAGAAGGATGGATATTGGCAACCTACAAAAAGACAAGGAAGCCAAGACCACGAGTCATACAGCCAAAGGTGGAACAAAGAAGAAATCACCACTGCCGCAACAATGGGAGGCCTAAAAGAAACATAAAGGATGATAAGACAACATATGCTGGGGAACCTATGGAGCAGGAGCCACGCATTCCCGTTTCCTTGCACGAGTACTTCCCGAATGACTTTTTCCAACAGTGCATTATCGTCGCCTGTCACATGGTTGAAGTAGAAATAGAAGAGCCCTCAAAAGGCAAAGCTATCGCCACTGAGGTAGAAAAGACCCTCACACCTGAAGAAGGTCTGCCAACACACTTTAGCATCGAGGAAGCGTTACAATTGCCAAAAAAGATGCGAAAAGCACTAGCAACAGTCTTGGCAAGTCCCGGCGACCACGAAGTGCAAGAAAGTAACGACGAAGGCTCGAAGCTTCAGCCACATGAATGTGCCACATGTTATGCCACCCATGACGCAATTAACTTCACTGACGAAGACCTACTGCTGGGATCAAAGCCTCACATCCGTCCTTTCTTCGTCTCGGGGTACGTAAGGGAACACAAAGTCAACCGCATACTTGTGGATGGTGAGTCGGCCATAAACATCATGCCAAAATCAACAATGACCATAATCGGCATCAAGGTGAATGAACTATCCCTGAGCCGTCTGCTGATCCAGGGTTTTAACCAAGGAGGACAAAATGCGATAGGCATGATCCGAGTAGAGATGACCATTGGTGAGCTCAAATCAAGCACGATATTCCACGTGATTGATGCAAGAACTTCCTACAGCTTGCTCCTAGGAAGACCTTGGATCCACGCAAATGGGGTAGTACCGTCCACCCCTTCACCAATGCCTAAAATTTTACTGAGAAAGAGTGAAGGTGATCCAAGGTGACACCAAGCCATTCACCGAAGCCGAATCACACTTTGCAGACGCCAAGTTCGACATAGACGAAGACATGGTACCCGAAGCTCTTCCGGAAGAGATCAAATCCATGGGCAAAGTAACACTTAAAACGCAGGAGTGGCAAGCCATGCCTAAAAAGCAAAAAAAGCAAGCCGTGCCATCTTTAAGCAAAGACGATGACGAGTTTGCTAAACCTGCAACAACCAAAGGAAGTAGGATGCCTTCAAAAGGACCGAACATACCCATATTCTGGTAGATCTCGATGTCAAGAATAAAGAATGGTCAATCTCCATTCGAAACTGGAACAAGAAAAGGCGACACACGATGGCACAAGGATAATGTGAAGTTGCTTAAGACGAATGCAGTTTTGCCTCTGACACAGCTAGGGAGTGCTAAGGTCGCAAGACTACCACAAGGGTTCATAAAAGCTCTACCAGAGGAGGTGGAATCAAGCTTTCTTTTAACCAAAAGGACCGAGGAAGGTTTCGACCCAAACACCTACAAACTCATGTCGAAGGCCAGGTATGACTTTGCTTCATCTTCTACGGCTGGAAAGAAGGTTGCAAACACTGTCAATGACAAAGAACGTAACCTCACCAAAACTCAAAAGAAGTTGAAGGAGCATGGTTACAGAGTTGACAACAACAAAGCTGGACTTGGCTTCACACCAAATGCACCTGTGATGATTTCAAACAAAGCGAAAAATACTAGCGCTCAATACGTCAGTGTAAGCATTAAACAAGACCAAGAAGAGCTTAAACCCGCCCCTCCGACGTCGGTCTTCGATAGGATGAGCCGTTCAAGCCCTAGAATTTCAGTGCTTAATCGCATTGGTGGTCAAGACCGAACCTCTGTCTTCAAGAGGCTTAACGCGCCAACATCCCAAAGCTCTGTCTTTAAAAGGTTGTTAAAGCCTAAGAAACAAAGCAACACAGCTATCTTTCCTCTGCGACGATCAGCTTCGGAAAGATTTGAAGATAATGAGAAGCCTTCTAGAAAGAGGAAGACAACACCAAAGGAAGAAAAGCTCGATGGGTTAGCAGAAAAAGGCGACATTCAAAGCTTGATTTCTTCAAGGATGAAGCGCCAAGCAATCTTAGAGGTTGACACAAATGGACCATTGAAAGTAAGAAGGCATACTATCATCCACACCGGACAATCCTCATGCCAACAAGCTCAAGAAGACAACACTGAAGAGGAGGTCCAAGATGTCTTCCACATCACGATTCAAGAAAGCAAAGAAGACGAAATCCCCGAGGAAGATGTCATTGCTGCACCACCACAGCTTGAAGATGGGGGGCAAGCCACAGTTGATGATCTCAAGGAACTCAACTTAGGTACAAGCGAGGAACCAAAGCCTATCTTCGTAAGTGCATTATTAAGTACGGATGAGATAAAAGAGTATTATCAGCTGTTGTTAAAGTACAAAGATGTCTTTGCTTGGACCTACAAAGAAATGCCCGGCCTGGACCCTATCATCGTTGT